TAGCAATATCTCTTTTCAGACAAATGTGAAAGCCATTACACTTTGGAAAATTGACTACAATCTCTTCTAGAGGGATAAATAATTGGACACTGTTTTACTTGTAGTCTCAAAACCTTACTTTAATAGGAATATAAGTAACGTAGTCGATTGCTATAGAAATATATACCTTTTCTTCATTGGCACTTTTACTAAATAATATGATCTATCAAACAAGCCTGAACTTCCTTGATAATCACTTATTCCCTGTATCTCAAGGGTACTCGTAACAGTGTAGCCCAGTTGTTATCGTGTCAATCTTCCATCCTGGACTGTCGCGGTTCGACTCCCACTAAGGCTTTTTAAAATTACCGATGCGAGGTCAAAACGGCAATTCACCATGGATTAAAACATCTTTGCAGAAATCGAGGCTAAGTGAAATTTAAAGGAAACGTCACCTCAACTCATATCATTGTGGGAAAATTCTACTATCAGTCCCTTATCATCTTAGAAGAACTAGAATGAATACATCTAAGTACACCTCTTTAATTGTAGTCTCGAAACCCTACTCTAACTCTACTCTAAGTAACATAGTCGATTGCTATAGAAATATACGTTTCCTTCTTTGGCACTTTTACTAAATAATATGAAAGCCACGGTCACCACGGGGGCGAGGATCAGGACTTCGACTATCGGACAGCCGAGATCGAGGGTTACGAAGTTGGCGGTGGCGTGGAGGACGCCGAGGTTGTGGATCGTCAGTTCCAAGAGGATGAAGGTCACGACATCATGGACACCCTGAACGAAGATCACTTCCAAGGTGACGAGTTTGGCGGGGACAGGATGGACGACTACAACGAGCGTGATATGGGTGGTGGTCTAAACGACGCTGACAACGAGAGCCTGCGCGGCGGGAATGACGAAAACATTGTCTGAAACCCATCTATCCACAAATGCGTGTGTGTGTGTGTGTGTATGCAGTGTGTGAACATTTTGCGCAATGTCTACAAAACGAATGGGGATCCCCCTCCATTTTTTAGCAAGCGCGCCCGTCGACCTGTAGTGCCTCATATCCATCGTCGCCCAGACAACAAGCTGAAGATGTAGCAAGAAAACCTCGAAAATAGACCATTCACATAAACACTGAAGCCTACTCTACTTCAGCAGAGGCTAATGTATGAACAAACTGATTCGGCTTTTGGAGAAAGGACTGAAAAGCAGTTACAAGTAATCCAACCGGAATAAATTGGCAAAGCTGCTTTCTGTATACATACTCAGGCATCAAGCTATAACCGTGTTGGGAGATAGTCTCTAAGTGCTGCATAACTATTCACTATTTCCTACTATGTCCGTGCAGCTTTATATTGTGCTCTATAATATATTTTGCCACGCAAAACCAGTAAATGATAATTTCATTCTTCAGACAGCCAACACTTAGTCATCACATCTTTGCCCTCCCATGACAGATTTCCATCTTCTTCAATTGGGCTCCCATCCCTTTTCCCGCTCTAGAATGCCAAACTCAAACGCCTATATGGGCAAAACCGTAAAGTCAAGGAGTGGGTGAAAAGGACTGTTGGAAGACTATGCAAATGTATTTATTTTCTTCAGAATTGACCAGATTTCCTCCTTTTTTTACTCCATACCCTTGCAACATAGGCCCTGTCAAGTAAGCACAAAGACTGGCGTACAGAAGGTGGAAAATCAAGTAGAAACAAATGCACAGGGACATG